ACTATATTAATTAATTTTAAGCTTTTTCGTTGTTGTGTCTTCAGATGAGCTCTTACCGAATGCCTTAATATGTTTAGTACCTCTTGGCCATTTATCACTCATGCAGTTTCGTATTCTTTCATTTGCATAGTGATCAATATTGATTATGTTGGTTCGCAATGACTAAACATGTAAATCCCTGGGAGTCGCTTAACTCGCTCAATGATAAGTGCCAGTCTTCGAGTAGGTTTCGTCACGTGTTTCTACTTAACATCTAGGGCCTTCTCAATCTTTTTTCAAGCCGCTGTCGTTTTATGGTAAAAACTCAATTATCATATAGCTCATTAAAAATACAGTTGTTTCTACGGATTCCCCATCTAATTTTAATGCTTCAGAAGACACTGTTCGCTGCAAAATCTGTGATGTCGTCTTACTTGCTGTGAGATACTTTGACCATTTTCGTGAGTTTAATTTTAAACCAACTTTTTGTAGATCAACGCCACCTTAATTCGAGTCGATTTTCTCATCAAACAGAAGCTATACGACCGGATATCAACCTTACTACCAAAGTTAGCCGTGTTCCTGGACCGCGTGGCCCTATCAACCATAAATATGTTCACTCAAGCAAATCTCGTTTGGCCATAGAGTCACTTAATTTACCAAATCCTAACAGAGTTACTGAAATTGGTCGTAAGCATGGAAAACGAAGATCCATTAGCGATGAATCTATTAAGATTATCAAAAAAAAAATTGATTCCGATCAACTTTTTGAGCTACATTCTAATTCTCTTTCTAAACAAAAAGAACGGTCTTCATTATCTCCTCTTCTAGTAAATTTATCTAAAATCAAGCGTAAATATCACGGAGCTATTACGACAGATTCTACTAACAATACTGAAAATATGATTGGAGCGTCTCCCGAGGAAACATTATCGGATTCTACTCAAGTGAAATCTCTGCCTGGCTTCGAAAATTCGAATGGCATTTCTGCCGAACCAGATATTGCATCTCACCAGGCCAGGATTTGTTTCTCCTCCCCACCATCTACTTCTGCATTCACTGCAAACCATGTTGAACTCCATCGACACCGCTGCATATCATGGGCTTGTGACTCCAATACTTGCCACAAACATGAAGCAGAGTCTACATTAGAGTCTGGCAAATCTGATTTGCTGAATTCATGCAAAAAGTTATGCCTTGATGTCGATGTTCATGATAAAAATATTTCAATCGATGACTCCTGCCCAATTCTTGACGATGATGGCGCTCAAATTAGCCGGTCTCCCTCTTTACCTGAGATTGGCCTCGACATAGTATCTTCGCCCTTAACAGGAACTGATAGATCTATTGAAATGTGTGATGCTCCCGACCTCATCAGTTCTGCCGATCATTATACTCATGAGTATAGCCCACCGAGATATCCACTCGATCCCTGCCAATTATTGAATAGGACCACGGCTGAATTGGAGAGTATGTGCCATTTCTATGTGGAAAATTTGAAATGGAAAGCATATAGAAAGCAGCATGATTCACACGAGGTACTGTCTGAACCGTCTCACTCTCTGAAATTATCATCTTCGACTGCCAATGCTGACCCTAGTCAGTCTGGAACAACTACTTTTGTATTCCCTTCCCCTAACCCTTTTGCTGTTAATTCGGCTTCTTCTACCTCGTCTACTTCATCTGGATCCATCGATTCTGTGGCTCTTACTGGAGGGTTCTCAGATTCAAGTACCTATGACTCAGTCATACCAACCAAAATTCCTATCATAGCAGCTATTCGGGATAATTCTCTCGTCTCAGATGAGGATATCAAAGGGTTGCTTGAAGATAATGCCGATCTCCATGGCTATGCAAAAGATATTGCTGATAAGCTGAGTAGACATAGAGAACCAGAAAGCGAGGTTGAACGCGCAGTTGCTTCAATTGTTGATGGTCTCAGGGAAGCTAGAGATGAAATAAAAGGCGAAGAAAGAGAAGAGAATTTGATAAATCCTTTGCCGAGCAGTAGAGGAAGACTCTCTCACGAAGATCATCTATCTGAAAACCCGGAGTTTGATTTATCTCGTCCATTAATCCCAGAAACTCTTACTACTAGACTAGATAGTACCTGTGGGTCTAATGGTTCTTCTGTCAATAAAAAAATAGACGATGATGATTCAGATGCCATTCTATTGCTGTTTTCTGGTTCCCCTGCAGGCGTAGAGATTAAGGACCAAAGCACGGACAGAGAAGAATCAGTCAATTGTTCCGTACCGGATTTCGCCTCGTCCACTGCGACCACCACTCATATTGATCCTGAACTATTTGCTCAGCTTACCGATGAGCGCTTTCTTTTTTTGTCACCCTTTAGTTCTCCTAAATCTGATGACCTCCAAACTCAGTTTCCAGTACTAGACAGAGAGAATGAAAAAATAGATCGTACGGATGATACTCTCGATTTTATGACGTATACAAATGTTTCGGATGTGGCCTGTGTTGGAGACGAAAGTGACACCGAAGACGAGCATAGGCATTCGCAAAATGATTTATCTAACATATCTTTACACGCAGATATCAACAAGTGCGATTTGGCGGAGAAAACGGATGGCTTAAACTTGGAGATTAATCACTCTTTTCAATTATTAGGTTCTACCTCAAACCTTAGTTTTGTTGATCAGAACATCGCCAAATCTTTGAGTAAAAGTAGCGAACATTCAAATAATGACAAGAAAGATTACAGTGCAGCTATACCTTCGTCACAGACTAGGTCTGCCAAGTCACGGTCCAAGCTAAGGTCTTCAACACACATGGATTCTCTTCCATGTCACATGCGTAAGCTAAACTCTGTTTATATCATCACTTAGTATTAGAGTCATTTTTACCCATACGATTTTTTGTTTTAGGACCCTTTGATCCTCGTTTACATTGTGGTGTCCTCAAAGATGGTGTTGTCTGTAGAAGAAGCCTTCTTTGCAAGGTCAGTTTTGATTCGCCTTCCTACTATTTTTATTTCAGCCGTCAATATTTATACAGGGAATTAATGATATTATCCCTCAATATCTTAGCTATGTTTAGAAAACCTTATTTAAAATTAATTAAAATCCGATTCTCCTAACTCCCAATTGCTATTAAATTTTAAAATTCTCACAGGCAATTCATAATTTTCATACTTATTTTTC